TTAAATAAATTTTCTCACTATTAAACTCAGGTTTATTACCTCCCTCTCATTAAGATATCGGCTGGTCATTAGTACTTATAAAGTACATACTCTGCATGATCATATTGAACATCCCTAATCCTACCTAATACCTGAGCTTAACTATTAATAATCAGAAAAGTAGGAGTTTATTGAGCCAAAAATGTATAGATCATTGGTTTATTAATAGCCAGAATTGTACCTTAAAATAAGGTGTAACCCTTTGCATGTCTTTACTGTCTTTTTATTACCAACTTATCTCATGTACTTACCAATCAACCTTTTCCCCTTTTTTCTGCTACTTAGGCCCAGAACTTCAAGCAAACCTCCCAGAAGGTCGCTCGTGCTTTCTGGTGGAAAAACGTGAAGCTGATTGTGCTGATTGTTGTGATAGTTCTGGTCATTTTACTGATTATCATATTCCTTGCAACTGGTGTGATTCCAGTCAGTGGAAGTGCTCCAAAACCTCCAACCGTAACGCCACCATAGGATTAGGAGCAAAAGATCAATTACACAAACACAGTCACATATACATATCGATATATATAGAGAGAGAGGGCGAGCAGTGTCCACACACCAACACATATAACACACACTTCCTTTATTTGCACATTTTACTCCTATACCTTCATATATCATGCTATCATGTCATCTTATAATGAGGAGCTTTTATAATGACAGCCTTGAAACCTTAAAGTGGAAGTAGTTTAAAGACACAACACTGTCTTCTTGACATACTTTTCACCTCCTGTAAAACAAAAACATCACTTCAGCTGTCTTTATGGGCGCCTGATGAAATGCCACTGTCTGAAGTTACAATATATTTCACACTGAAGGTAACCTTATTGAATTAGAGAAGGTAATGGGGGACGTACTGCTGAATGAATTATTAAGTATATTTAAGACTGTTATAATATATTACGTAGGTTGTTACTTGTAATTATAGATTAGTTTTAGATCTTAAGATTGTCTTTATTTTGTATTCGATGGGTAGCTGTTTTGTCAACATTTATGTTAGTTATACATGTGAAAGGTCAAATAAAACTTTGTTCTTAGAATGTAGCTTTATAGAAAACACACCGTTTTGTTGAGGAAATTATAAAATTGTGAGATATTTCCAGGTCTTAAATTAAGTTTCTGAAATCACCAATGTCCAAAGCTTTAAAACAGAACAATTTTCTTCCTATACAGAATGGATAAAATATTTTTATGGAAAAAAAGAGCACCTGAACAAGGTCATTTAGAGAGGAAATGGGTATTTTATTTATGTCGTTCTTCCTAATCTGAAATCTCTGCATTGAATGAATGTGACAAAGTTTAACACTTGCACTGTAAACACATGCAGTCAGTACTGTAATGGAAATTTCATACTGCATCAAAAAAAATGTGTTCCACAGTGGCGTTTTAAGACGCATTCTTTTTTCTCAGACAGAAACAGAAATGTTTAAGAGTCTGTACTGTAATTTAAGTTTGCGGTTTTTACATATCTGGATTTATGCATTGAAAATCACTTCTCTGAATTGATGTCTGATCTCACTGTAGATCAGTCTGCTGTTAGCTCCATGCACTTTGTTTTGTAGAGGTCAAGGCAATGTCTGTATGTAGTCAGAATGACTTGACTGTTCAAATGTTTGTAAACCTGAGTCTTATTATGCTGTGTGTTTCGTAGCATCCATTAACATCATAGAGTATTTAAAAACATATGAGGGTTTTAAACATTTGTATGTATTATTCTTCTTAATATTATACACAAATGATTACATCAAATAATAAAAAGTGATTTTATCTACAGCAAATTGTCATTAAATGCAAGAATTAATTAATAAAAACCTTTAATAAAAACCTGAATTTGAATGTTCTTTGCATTCACCACCTGTAGCATATGGGAAATGTGTAAACTCAAAATAAACGCAAAAGAAGTTTGACATGTTTTTGTTCACCCTCTCATTTGAAAAGTTATCATTCATTATCATCGTGCTTCTGTTCGTTTATTGTTTAACTCAACGTGATAAACTTTAACTTATATTTTTAGTCAATATGATTGGTGTAAGTTGACGTTACTAGAAAAGTTTGATTCAAACTAAATATAGTTAGAAATGAAAATAATAAATAATAATTAGTTAGAAATTTGATTCGACTAAATATATAATTAAATGTACATTTTATTAAACTTTTTTTTAAAAAAAGAGCGAGTACACATGTCTAAGCAAGTGGTTTTGTTTTGTTTTTGATGTGATGTGATTTGGTTTTTCCTGCTCCACCTGCAGTTTACGCCTGCCACTAGATTTTGAACTATGTTCAGTTCAACTAGTTCAAACAGTTGATTCGGAAAAGCAGTCTGACATTCTGAGTAAAAACTGAATTTGGCATTCAATTCAATTCATGCTTATTTGTATAGCGCTTTTCACGATAAGTTTCGTTTCAAAGCAGCTTTACAAAAGGTGAACATTATCGCATTATGGTGTATCAGTAAATCAGTATATAATGGTATGTATTGGTATATCAGCATTTATCGGTGTATATTATAAATCAATAATATACTATATATCAATAATTTAAAAAAGGCAGATACCGATGGTTTGTTAATAGAGGCGATGAGTTGAAAAGAATTAAAGAATTATTACTTACATTTCTATTTCATACAATTTATGTACATTTTCTAATATAATCTTCCAAATTGGAAAATTTCTACAATTTCACAAATTAACTTCCCGTGTAAACTTATTGGAAAGTTTGAAGAAATGTACCGGGAATGATCAGCCCCTTTGCAACTCTACTGAAAAAAGTAGGACCTTTAATCTGAAATGAATGGCTTTATTAGGAGATGTCCTGAATGAACGCATGCTGACACTGGACGGTCTTGATTACAGAGAACCCACCCAGAGCAGATTAAAACCAGCCAATCTGACAATGAAGAGAGCTCAGCATCACCGGCCAGCACATTGGTCCTCAGCAATAAATTGAGCAAGATCTTGGGTTATTTAGTGAATCTTTTGATTCAATGTGATTTGCAACACTTCAACTGCTAAGCACGACACCATAACAGTCAGTGGAAGCGGGTCACGCAGCTGCGTGTAGTGCGATTAGTGTTGACACCGGTTGACACACATAGCTTTGTCTAGTCCAAAAGCTCAAAAAATGACCAAAAACATTAGATTCATATTTTGCTTAATTTTAATTTATTTACATTTAATTAATTTGCATAATTACTTTAACTGTCATAAGTTTTAACTATACAGCAACCAACCGATACAGAAGTAGATAACCACAATAAAACCGAGGGTTGTGCTGAGACACGCACCCCTGTTGTAAAATGCAGGTGATGCACCCCCACTGAAATGTGCATCTATTAACTGAAACTGTTTGGAAAAAAATAGTAGAGTGTAGGAACTATGACGTCAACTTGTATGCAAAAAAACGGAAGCGAGTTAGCATTTTAGCAGTTCCGGTTCCCTCGTCCCAAAGTCAACGGGCTTTTTTAATGGGAATTCAGTTCAATCGTCTAAGGTCCGTGGCTAACACAAACTTAGGATACGTTCATGTTAGAAAAAGAGATTCAAATGTATATAAAAGTGATTTCCAAGTCTCAAAATAGAAAAGCAATTAAAACAATTAATATATGCTCCTCCTTTAACATTTTTACATAAAATTGTTTGTATATATGCATTTCCTGTGAAAAAAAAGTGCATTACTAACTCTTGTAAATCACTAAAATTATAAAATGTGCGAAACATATTTGTATGTAATTTGATAATTATGTACCCTCTCCTCTGTTTTTTTTTTTCTTTTTTTTTTTCTTTTTTTCTCTTCTTTGTTTTTTTCACTTATTTCATTCTTGTTAAGAAATGTAAAGTGATTGTATTGTATAACAAAACAACTGTAACTGTACATGCTGGTTCTTGTTAATAAAAAAAAAAAAAAAAAAAAAAAGGATACGTTCACGTTTTATTCTACGACAAAACACATCAGTTACAGCACACTCTTGTTTTTTTATCGGTTACGCTTCTTTAAAAAGACGGTTGCTATCAAGATGCTAAATGGGACTCATAGATATATACTTGTATATGTGTATATATGTATATATCTATGAATGGGACTACAGGCGGTGTCGGAGACATTATACGTCATCAAGCTGAACTGGTCTGGAGCGCAGCCTGCTAGTGTTGGGCATTTGCATTTGTCTGTTATTTAAATATTTTCATCAATAGTATTTCATAGTTTGTAGTACTTTTTTAATTGAGAATTGTGTGTAGATATTCCCTTTACCTGTAAAGAATGTCAAAACAGATTCATTTGTTGATCATTTATTTTATCTAAAGATATGGTAACACTTTACAATAAGGTTCATTAGTTAATGCATTTAACTTGAACTAATCATGAACAACACATGTACAGCATTTATTAATCATAATTTAACATTTACTCATGCATTATTAACATCCAAGTTCATGCTTGTTAACATTAGTTAATGCACCATGAGTTAACATGAACTAACAATGAACTACTGTATTTTCATTAACTAACGTTTACTAACATGAACAAATACAGTAGTAAATGTATTGTTCATTGTTTGTTCATGTTAGTAAATGCATTAATTAACATAACTAATAAACCTTATTGTAAAGTGTGACCAAAGATATTATGAAGATACTGCCTACCAGTGCAGCCTGTCTTTTCCCCTGCTCTCAGTAATGCAAACGTGAGAATAAATGTGTAAAAATACATACATTAACTGTCATTCTAACGTGATCAAATGATTTTTCGTCGTTTTTTTCTTCTTCATCATATGTCTGATGAAAATATTATGTATGCACATTTATACATAGCAAAGAGCTTAGAATGAGCATTCTAAGCGTATTTCAAAACTTTTACAACAAGCAAAACAAAATGTACATCCCACGTAAAAAAAAAAAAAAACTATCCAAAAGGCACGTAGGTCTATATATGTTTTTGCGTATATATTTGTTTATAATATATAGCTTGGATTATAATATAATAAAACGAGAGAGTAAATATTTGTCATGGACCATATTTCTAAAAATAAGCTTGAAAAGTTGTCTTTAGCAGGTGGAATTGACGTCACATGCGAGCGCCCCGAAGGCTCTGTAGTCCGTAGTAGTATGTTAGCTTTTTTTGTGTTTGTGTTTGCATTTCCAAAAGTGCTAAAAGTTGTATTTTCGTGTTAGGATTATCCGGCTGGGCAAAACGTGTGAGTGTAATGAACTGTGTTTGAACACCGAGCTTATTATTTGCAATCTTCAAAAAGCGTATGGCGATCGAGGGAACCAGTTTTATGCTAGCAGCCGATTAGCCTACAAGGTGACGTCGTCAATTTGGAGGGCGGGTGTAGTGACGTCAGCGCGCATGGGCGGGACAGGCTGTGGATTCTGGTATAAATACGCACGTCAGCTATTTCCCCAGTTTGCCAGATCGCTAGTTTCTTAAACTTTTCGTCAGTAATGTCAAACAAACAAACGATCCAAACACTCGATGGGATTCACGCCATTTACCGCCAAAAAGCCTTTTGGCCTGAATTCACATGAATTCACATCCACAAAATCACACCAGGATGAAACCCATCTGTAAAGCAGCTTTAAAAAGGTATGTTATATTCGTATGTGTTATTAATCAACGTAAGTTAGCGGTGATGCTAACCTGCAGCCCGGTTTGAATTGAGCAAAGTTTTGTTTGTGAAAAAATCAAGTGTGCCGCAAGCCTGCGTTTGAGTGAAGGTCTCGGCCGTTAGATCGCCCCCTGGGGGCTGGCTGCAGTACAAGTCATAAAGCCCGCCTCCTCCGTGTTAATGAAGGAGACTAGAGCCCAAATAAAAAAATTAATTACACTTGCAATAAAATGTCCCGAAAGATAGTTCTGGTCGATTAAGGCACTGATTATTGTGCTGAAATAGGTGCAGATCCTCATTTTTGTAAACAGTTTGTTTTTAGCAGTAATTTAATGCTGGGCGTGTCATCGTGATTAACAGCAGTGATTGACAGTTTCTCAAAGCAGCGCGTCTGAGCTTCGTTAGAAGACTGAAGTGTTATTATTCGATTTCTGTGATACTTTACTATGACAAAATGAGTTCAGCAGTAAACTACAGTTTCTGACATACATGATCTGGTGGAACACTGTTTATTCGCTAAGGTCAGAGCTTTTTTCGGGCTTTATTAGTTTGCTAATAAACGCCTAGCCACCCAGATAGCAAAATACACTGGGGCCAGTTCTTACCTGCCGGAGACTTACCCCTCAGACTGACTACCTCTGCTGGACCTACTCCGGATGCCTGGACTCACTGCCCGATTCCAGCCTGAGTCAATTGAGCCAGATGCGGCGGCCGAGCGAGCAGGCGCTGCCGCATCCGAGCCGGTGTTCCGGAGAATTCAGTTCCCCTGTTCCCCCATTCACAGCGCATGCGCAACTTACGGCTGATTCCATGTACACAAATCATGACGTCATGAATTCACTTCGCGAACTGAAACAGTTCATGGTTGTTTTGCTGTATTTTCGTAAGCCCAGTGTTTATTTCATCACAGAGTTTATAAAATTTTGTAATTATTTGAATAGACACACGTGTCTATTGCATTGTTCCTGTTTTTAGCACGCGTTCGCTTGTTTCTTTCAAACAGTTTACCTTGTCGAAAAAAATAAACCATACTACACTGCACAAATTATAGTGTGTTTTATTTCAGATAAATCACAGTGATACTTGTGTTGTTTTGAAAGACATATTTACGTAGCTTGTCATGTATCTTCAGAAAGTGACTTTACATTAAAAACACAGGAGTACGGATTTTCCCGAAGCAGAGGAAATTGTGTTACCTTCTGAGGATTGGAAAACACAATATACAATGCCTTTTTAACATCAGATTTAAATCTAACAATTTTGTTATACTAAAAAAAAACATAAGTAGGTGTAAATTTAAAGGATGATACATTAAATGAGTTTACTATTTGAACAACCCATATGCTTATCACTTTATATATATATATATATATATATATATATATATATATATATATATATATATATATATATATATATAAACTAGCAAAAAAAAGCTAAAATCTTTTAAAACGAACCAACCAAAAATTTGTGCACATTTTCAAGTGTTTAAAGCAAGCTAAGCAACGATATTCTTCATTATAGGCTGTACAATATATCTTATCAGCATTAATATTGCAATGTGCCCATCTGCAGTAGTCACATCTGCAATGTTGAACAGCACAGGAGTTCAGAGTACATGTGATTTGTGGAGTAGCTGCAGATTTTAACCATAATTAAATAAAAAAAAAGTATTATTTGCATGTGTTTTTAAAGAGTTTAATACATTCAGGCACAAGAAATTATAACTTTTATATCTTAAACAAATATTAATTGTACTTATTTTTTATATAAAGAAGACTAGTGTTATTTTACATGTGATTATTCAATTTCTGTACTGAATGCTCCAAAAAAAAAAAAAAAAAACACTGTTTATCTCAGCAGTTTTGTCTTTGCCCTGTTTTTATATGCTTGTAAATTGTTTTATGCATGATTCAACCAGTCCCCTACAAAATCATGCCAATCAATGTAAAATAATGAATTATTTTCTAACAGAGCTATTTAACCAATCTGGTGAAATTGTATTTATATCACAATATATAAGGCAGAACAACGAAATATTGCAATATTAGTTTTATTTTGTTTTTTCAATATCGCACAGCCCTATTCTGCCAACACATGACTGGTGATCAATCACAGGCAATCTGAAAGATCATGCAGGGTAATTACCCACAATTGCCTCAACATTAAAATAATGTTTAACAGCTTTTGTCAATTTAACAAGAACCAAAGGTACAAAAATTGTTAAAAATAAAAAAGTACCCATTTACCCAAGCAGGTGAATGCATATGGTCATTGTGTAGTCCACAAAAATAACATAAAACACTTATCTGAACATATAAGAGTTTAGACATAATTATACCATTAAAAAAATGTCACCAGCATCACTGTAGTGCCTTTTAAATCCACAAAAGGTAATATATAGGAGTTAACACTTCTTTGGGCAATGTAAAAAAATTCCCATGCATTTTCAATGGTAACACCCCTTTATAGATAGGCTCAAAAAAAATTTTTTTTACTTTTTTACTATCTTTTATCTGTTTTCTGTGCTGTATCCATAATTGTTGTTTAAAAGCCCTTTCTGTAGATGAAAACTGTTGGAGACAATTATTAGATTAAAAAGACGTCATTGTATTGTTGTTTTGTTTTTTAATCCAGGAAACTTCCCTTGCTTACAGAAAATCTGTTCTCATGTGTTTTCATATGCAGATAAGTGGCAAATGTTTGCATTAACAGTCTATGCAATTTTTAAACATTACAACCATCATCGTGACTTACCTAAAACAAGAGACACTAATTTTGCAGTGCTATTTTCTCGACTAGGCTTATTTGAAAGACAATGCTTGTTTGAAAGAAAAACACGCACATCACGCACACATTAACAACAAAACAAGTGCATGCAAAAATTACAATTACTAAATATAATAAAAAATGTTTAATGCAACCAACATTAGGCTTGTTAATACAGCAAAACCAACACGATTTTTATTTATTTTTATTTTCAAAACCAACACGAATTGATTCACTAGCGAAGCGAAAGCATGACGTCATTACTGAGAATTAGCGCATGCGCTGTGACGGGGGGGAACAGGGGGAACTGAATTCTCCGGAACACCGGAATCAGCCCGCGACGCCGCGACTAGGTTATGCGCTGATGCCCGGAGCTGGCGCGATTGAATCTTCATTATATAAAACCCTCACATTTGTTAACGTTATTACACCCATTTTTGTTGATATAACAACAAACGCATGCTACTATGTGAACGCAAAGTGTATCACTGAGTTTAACCTTTGAATAAAGATGCAAACAGCATAGCAATTATTTAAATAAAGGACAAAATAAATAACAATAAACCTGTATCGATTGCACAAGTATTAAATAATAATAATAATAAATACGAAAATGACAATAAAACTGCACAATAAAATAAACCCATTTAAGTACGGGGTATACAGGAGATCGTTAGCAGTAATTCTCTTTGTGTTTAAATAATAATCTCCACGTTGACCTCCTGTAAGGTTATTTGAACTTGCTTTATAGGACGTCTCTGCATTTTAAGTTTTGGCATGTTATTAAGTGATCTACTGAATTTGCTGTTATAAATCATTATAAGGTTCTTCGAATCTTATATAATCTAATAGAGCTGTAAATGTTAGATATTATTTATTTACATCATTTACTGTTGGCGTTTTATTTGAACACTCCAGCTAACATTAAAAAGAATGTAAATTCCTCGTTGCCAGATATAATGAAGGCATCGAATAAACCAAATGAAAACGGAGGCAAAAAAATTAAATAAATTAACAATTCAAGCGAAAATGAATAAACAATATACTAGTGATGTTACAGCAGATAGACGTTGTATTAATAGTGCAAAGTTTTTTGCACAAATTGACAAATTGCAGGGTTGGGATGTGTAAATATCCTGTTGATATTTAGTAATCTTGCTGTATTTATCTTCTAAACGCACGATTGTTCCCGCATGGTAAATCGTTATGGTGTGTAGGCTATATTTTGGGTTCTGTTGATGGCTAATTAAAAATAAAAACCTTTTTAAAAATGTACGTGTTGTTTATATGTTATTGTTCATATTTTACAAGTGTTATTTCTACCCCTATGAAGATAACAAATACCAACAACAAATATAACAATAAGAGAATATATTATTTGTGCTCATATACAGGCTAGAGTGTATAAAAGATCGTTTATTTCTGCAGTCCACCATGTATTGCTTTTATTAAAGTTTAACAGCTTACATCACACCGTTTTTAAACCGTATATTATTGTGTTTTTTTTAATGTAAGTGCTTCTATTTACATCAGTGAGCGTTTGTTATAGTGCAGACACCGGCAGTCGAGTGAGAAGTTCGGGGGGCGTGGTTGATTTTACATAAAGCGTTTGGTTGGAAGCTCGACTCCGCTCATTATCGCGGCTCCTCCTCTGGCTCCATCAGACAGTCCTTCTGCGCATGTCTGGCTCCAATTTCAGCAGTCTTTTGCGACAGTTTGTGCCCGTCAAGCAGGCGTTTTGCCCTCAAGGCGTTCAATGGCAAAAGGGGCTGTCGCGTCGTCCATATTTTTTACAGTCACTGGAAAAAATTAAAGCTTTGCATTTGAATTGAATTGTGCTTAATGTTTAACGTTAACGTTAGCCTAAACGAAAAGCTGTTATACTAGATCTTACTTTGTTTTAAAGAGCTTTTTTGATACACTCAGTCGTTTTTATCGTCGTCAGTGATGGTGGAGTGATTGTTGAATTAAACATTTATTTGTAAAGTTAAATGTGGATGTGCCGCGTTTTTAATACACTAGATTCAGTGTTTGTTTGTTAGTGTTTGTGGTGGTTTTTATGAGAGTAGGCTTCAGTTTGTTGTGCAGGATGAGATGTTATTATATTCGCGTATTTATTCAATTATGACTAACATAACTAAGTATGTTCCGTACAGATTACCTTTTAACACCAATCTCTGAGTAAATACGTACGGGTCCTAGACACGTTATATATATATATATATATATATATATATATATATATATATATATATATATATATATATATATATATATATATATATATATATAATGTGTGTGTGATCTTTGTGTCTCACTCTTATTCCTGGTCACAGTAGAGACTCCTACCAAATGTTAACGAAAAAAATCTGTAAGTTTGGTACGTCCACCTTAACGCGCTTGAAATTGAACAGTGTCGCTTAGGAGAGGAGACATTTGTTTATATATATATATATATATATATATATATATATATATATATATATATATATATATATATATATATATATATATATATATATATATATATAGATGTGTGTGTGTGTGTGTGTTTTATATATATATATATATATATATATATATATATAATTAAATGCATTTGAATTTAATTTATGCATGACACAGTACTACAGTATCATTTTGATGAATATCATATCGCTAATTGTTTATTAAAGGATCTTTTGTTGAATAAATGCTTTGAAATTAGGATGTCCTGAGAGAGACTGCAAACCCTATTTGGCCGTCGTCTTTGTGCATTGATGATGTTCATATTCATAAAAGATCAGTTAAGTTAGCGTTAGCGTGCATTAATTTAATGTTTTAATATTTTTAAATGGTCACGCTGTAATAAAATGAGCATGCTCTAAAGCTTAAATGATTGTAAGGTTCTTTCATTACGTTCCATAAAATATATGAACATTTAACATTAACTTCAAGTTAAACCGTAATAGTATATTCTGACATGAGTTTTTAATAGGACTTCAAGCAATGACCATTTTTACCATTGAATTAATGCCATTCGCCCTGTATGGAACCGTATCATCTTCCATAAGGTGGTACTTTTCCCCTGTTTTCTAAAAAACTACTGGTCTAAAAGACATCAATCACAATTTAGATTGTACAATGGGTATTCACCCAGAGAATGGTCACGCAAGCATGTTTATCTGGCTTTTAATGATAGAGGAGTGGTTTGAGAGTAGTGGTAGTTAGTCTTAAAATGGGACTTTGCCATTGCTTACCGCTACATTTAATATTCGGTCTGAATACGCCTGTGTTACTTCAAAACAGCACTATTTTTAATTGACTGTAAACCATGTTGCACCTAGTCATTGACTGATAATGTGATTTCACTATTTGTATTTTGCAAGCAGAAAGTCTGAATGTGCAAAATTAAAACAAACTTTTTCCCAATTGATATGATGTTGCCGGTCACCTTGATGAATTTTTCCAGATTCCTCCTGATTTTTCCAGGCTGTTGTTAGTAACTGTGGAGTTAGTAACTGTGGAACTGTGTAGCATAAATAGCTTATGGTCTGAAGGCTTATGTTGTAGAATATAGACTTAAACTTTGTGCTGTTGAGGATGTTTTCATCCACTCTTTAGTGGTTTATAGGATTTTTTTGGCCACAAATTCTTCTGTTTCACAGCAAATGCAATGTTTTTTTAGTGACAGCTTATTTTGACACATATTTGAGGACAATGCTTTGGAATATTTTAGAAACTCAACAATATATTCTGGGCTACCCTCTCAGCATGTCAGTGTTTTTGCCCTATTGACTTCCATTATAACAGTGTTTTTTGATTGTAAAGCCATGACACCATATACTCGTGCATTTTTGATAAGTGGTGTTTTTTTAGGTGATCTTTAGTATTTTCTTTTTGGTTTTGTCATATTTATTAATGCTCAATTTTTAAGTCTTCATTTATTGAAATACTTCAGTTTTTATATATTTTATTTGTCGTGCCTTTCATAGCTTTATATATTTTATTTAGCTTTTTCTCATTTGTATTAGATTTGTTAGGTTTCATTTTTTGTTGTACGTCAGATTCAACTTGTTTGCTTAAATACTGTTGCAGTTTTTGGATTATTTTTATTTTCCACAGTTAAGATTCAAAACATCTTTCAAAGAATTGTGGTTGTTCTTTCTGCGTAAACACCCAAAGCGAGAATCTTTAGAAATGGTAAATTAATAGGTAGGCATGCACAGTATGGCTGTTTATATGCAATTCTATGTGAAGTTTTCATGTTCTCCCCGTTTTGGTGTGGGTTTCCTCCAGAGTGCTCCGGTTCCCCCACAGTCCAAACACGTGCGCTATAGGATGAATTGAATAAACTAAATTGATCATTGTGTGTGTGGATGATTGTTTCCCAAATAGAGGTAAAGTAGTTGGTTTTATATTAGCACATTCTGACCTCTGCGTTCAATAAGTTTGTTAATCTGCAAGTAAAGAATCCAAATTCAAATATTTACCGTTGTAGTCAATTACGAGCCAAATGTCCACCACACTTTTTTTTGTCAAACTCGGCGTTTTAAAGGAGTATAAAAACACCTTTACCTCTATGAAGGTGACGTCATCGCTTTTTTGAGGGACCGCCTACAAACTATCAGTTTGTAAAATCAAGCTGCTAACGTTCACTGTCCATAGTTAGCCTATACTACTTAATCTTAATAAAATCATCTGCAAACAATACATCACAGACATGTTTATGTATACATTATATTATAACAATTTAAAAACAAAATTTATCAACATAGAATTAGTAATTTAGAATAATACATTAGTATAGAATAGTAATTTTATATACTGATTATTGTGTTATGATTGATGTATACACTTTACACAAGTATACACGTTCATGTGTAATATGAATAATTAAATGTGTTTTTTTTTCTTACTCTTCTTCTTTCCTCATTATTTACAGATTGTACGCAAGCAAAAGATGGCCAGATTAAGATTTGTGAACTTCACCACTGGGTCCCTCCTTTAAAATGTTACTCTGCTGAAGTACATGTGAATAAAGAAATAATTTCAAGACGACAAATAACAGTGTCAAGGAATGAGTGCTGCTCACGTGGGAGAAAAGAGTCCAAAATGAGAATCTATTCATTTGGGTATTCACAATACTATTGTTCACTTTTAAATATATATATTTTTTTTTTTTGCACAATATTTTTATACGTAATTGCTACATATAACATAGTAATGTAATAAGTTGTACTTTCCTTACAGATTCAGTGAGATTCTTGCCAATGTATGTTTCATGTCCCATGTGTCAATATAGATCTGCAATCAGAAGACCAGCTGACCTTTTGTGATTTGTGTTTGGTATCAATGAAATTACATGATAATGTGATCAAATAGGAGATGTAATGCATTTATTCTATTCTATAATTATCATTGAGTATGAAATGTGCTTTTTAAATAAACTTGCCTTGAAATTGGCAGTATTGATGAACATTAATATTGCTGAAGGCCGATTTTAATTTGAAACTCCTATAATGATTTTGAAACAAAATATTAATAAATTTTACATTTAAACGGAAAAAAAACTAGAAAATATGCTTTAAAAGTTCATCATAATTGTTGTGCATATTAGTAAAATAATTTTGTAATTTTATATAATTTATATAGTTTAATAATTTTGGTTAAACTAATATATTTTACAGTACTGTTTTACACCTGTAAATGTATTGAAGGTTGATTATAAGCAAACTTAAACAAAACGAGAAAAATATTGAAATAAAAATTATCAGTAAAACAATTGATGTGAGTACACCACAACATATAGATTGATGAGGAAATTTGGTTAAAATACGATGTATAAAGAACATAATTATATATTTTTAAATAAAAATATTAAATGCATGCAGTGGTTGTAAGCAAACTTAAAAAAATACAAAATAATATTAAAAGAGATATTATTAGTAAAAGAAATGAGTACACTAAAACATGTAGACAAATGCTGGAAAGAATATGCTGACAATAAAATATTTTTATTTAAAAAAAATAAAAGACATTAATGACTTTGACTTAAGGCTAACATAAAGGCAACAAAAATTATATAATATTCTTAAAAGAATTTAAATGAGTACAACAAAAAATAAAGTAATGCTTGAAAATCAATACCACCATCACCACCACCATTGAAATCATAAAACCACAGTCTTCATTTTATGTTGTACTCACATCAATTATTTTACTATTGTTCACAACAATTATTATGGTGAACTTTTAAAGCATATTTTTTATAGTGTTTTTTTTTTTTTTTTTTTTGGAATGTAAATATATATTAATATCTTGTTTCAAAATCATTGTAGGATTAAGAAATTAAAATCAGACATCAATAATTATATTATCTATCACTCACAGGTAAATTTTTATAACTACATGTTGTAAATGAATTTATATTTATAAGCATAATTTCTGTAGTGTGCTTTTCATCACAGTGAATTTAAATATCTTAATATCTTGTTGCCCAATCACTGTAGCATCAACAAATTATTCATAATATCCCATATCACTCACAAGTAGCCTTATACATGTATATGTTGTAAACAAATGTATATTAATGTTTATAAGAATGTTTCTACAGTATATATTTTTCATGGTAAAGGTAAATATCTTAATATTTTGTTTCACAATCATTGTAGGATTAACAAATTAATATTAGACATCAGCAATTATATTGTCTATCACTCACAAGTAGCTTTTCATAAATATATCTTGTAAATAAATTTATATTGATAATTATTAGCATATTTTCCACAGCATGTTTTGTCAACACAGATATCGTAATATCTTGTTGTGAATTCATTGTAGGATCAACAAATTAATATCAGAAATCAGTAATAATATCAATTATCACTCAAGTACGTTTTAAGAAATATATGATGTAAAAATTGTAATTAATATTTATGACCATAATCGCTGTAGTGTGGGTTTTTCATGAATGTAAACATCTTAATATCTTGTTACACTTTAATGGTAGCGTCAACAAATTATTATCAGACATCAGCAATAATATTATCACTCACAAGTAGCTTTTCATATATATATATTGTAAAACAAAATTATATTGATAATCATAAGCATATTTTTCACAGCATATGTTTTTTCATGGTCAACACAGATATCTTAATATCTTGTGAAATCATTGTAGGATCAACAAATTAAATCCAGCCACCAGCAATAATATTATATATCACTCAAGTATTTTTTTATAAATATATTATGTATATTAATTTATATTAATATTTCTGTGCATAATTTCTGCAGTGTGTATTTTTAATGAACGTAAATTTATCTTGTTATATATATATATCTTGTTTCAAAATCATTGTAGAGTCAGCAAATACACATCAGACCTCAATAATTATATTGTCTATCACTCACAAGTACATTTTGATAAATATATGGTTTACATTAATTTATATTCATATTTATGTGCATAATTTATGTAGTGTGTGTTTTTCAACGTAAATGTAAAAATCTTAATTTCCTAATGTCCAAGTGTAGGAGCAACAATTTAAAATCAGACATCAGTAATAATATTATCTATCACTCAAAAGGACCTTTATGCACATAATTTCTGTAGTGTGTGTTTTTCATGGTTAATATAAACATCTTAATATCTTGTTTCACAATCATTATAGGGTCAGCAAATGAACATCAGACATCAGTAATACTATTGTCTATCACTCACAAGCACCGTTTAATAAATATGTTAGATATGAATTAATATTTGTGTGCATTATTTCTGTAGTCTGTTTTTCATGAATGTAAATATCTTAATATCTTGTTGTGAAATAAATGTAGGATAAAGAAATAAAATCCAGCCACCAGCAATAATATCTATCACTCACAAGTAGCTTTCATAAATGTTTTGTAAATAAATTTATATTGATAATTCTAAGCATATTTTCCAGTTTGTTTTTTATGGTAAATGCTTTTATGGTATCTTAATATCTTGTTTTACAATTATTGTAGGATCAATAAATTGACATCAGACATCAATAATTATATTATCTATCACTCACAAGTACATTTTCATAAATATATTTTGTAACATAATTTATATTAATATTTGTGTGCCTAATTTCTGTAGTGTGTTTTTCATTTTGTGTGTAGATGTCTTAATTTCTTTAAGTCCAACCATTGTAGCGTCAACAGATTAATATCAGACATCAGTAATAATATTGTCTATCACTCATAAGTAGCTTTTCATAAATATATTTTGTAAATAAATTTAAAATTTCTAATCATATTTTCCACAGTATGTTTTTCATGGTAAAACACAGATATCGTAATGTCTTGTCCAGTCATTGTAGGATCAACAAGTTAATATCAGACAGTCATAATATCCCTTATCACCCACAAGCACTTTTTGAGAAATATATTGTGTAAAAAATTTAATTAATATGTGACCATCATTTCTGTAGTGTTTTTCATGAATGCAAATATGCTAACATCTTGTTGTGAAATCACTGTAGCGTCAACAAATATCTGACATCAGTAATAATTTTAACTATCACTCACATGCATGGGCGTAAATCTGATTTAACAGTAGGGGGGGCAATCAATATAAAATTTATTTCGAGCATTTTTTTGAGATATGTCCCCGCAGTTTAAAATAGTTTAGTTGATTTCATTATTATTATAGCATGCAGACTACGTCATTATGATTATTTTTTAAAATGTTTTTCTCAGGTTCAAAGATAAAGCAAATTTTTCATCGAAACTATTTATTGCATTGTTTGTTGTGTTGTTTACAGTCAACAGACTGACTCCTGAAGCAGAATAAATGCAGAAAAATACATTTTCCATACTCAAAATAACTAGTTTACATTACACTTGTTAAATTGACCGATTATATTGTAAATAGGTGAGCCTGTGAAGTTAATCTGCTAAACAGCCACAACTCCAAAAACATTTAAAAAAAATTGTTCACCCCCCATAAGAATTGTCATTATCCCTTCAATAATGCACAACACCCTTACCTGACACTGTACATCTGACTGACCCTGCTCTGCCTGTTCCCCAATCATTTCTTTCTCCTTTGCCTGTGATTGATATTGTGACATTAGTATTTTCATAAGCACTCATTCTTAAAGCCAAATTGCTTAATATGTGAACTTTTTGTACTTAGCGTTTAGCTGCACTGAAAAATGATCTTATGTCCATTTTCTCTGTCATGTTATCCAATGCATGACACTGCCAGGCAAGTTTATTTATACTGTACCACATTTTATAAACAATGTGCTTTACATAAAGAATGTAAAACTATTATAAAAATAATCACAACAATAAAAACAAGGACATTTTTTATTTCAAATTAATTTTCACTTAAGAACAGAATAGAAACTGATTATACAAAAATACAGTGGGGTTAGACTGTACGTAGCACAGTGCTCATTTAGCAAATACACAGCTAAACAATATGCTAATTGTGTTCGTTAATGTTAAGTTAACATTATGCTAAGTCGTCACAAATAAAACAATGCATGGGAAACGGCTTTGGCGTTGCAACCATAGGTTGCAACAAGCTAACGTTAACGCTAACTAGATGAGTCCTTTTTACTGCTAATACAGCAGATTCGTGGACAATTACGTCGGTAAACAGCATTTTTGCTGCAAAAAAAAAATTATTAACGAGTCTTTATTAACTAAATTGAAGAGAATTGTTTCATTTAAGTTGGATAAAATCCCCTACTTACTTTCTGAAATTCAACATTTACTCAGCCATACCTGCAGCCGCACACCTGACGTGCTTGTGTGCGAATAGGTGAGAAGAGCTGGGAAATCACGCAGTGGACCGAATCACTCTGATGAAGGGGAGGAGGAACTCAACTGTTTCTAAATGCTTTTTAAATGATGAATGCGGTTTTCTTTCTACTTAGTAAATTATTTTAGGTATATATACATATATATACAACCCTCGAATGGGAGGGGACATGTCCCCACCGGGATTTACGCCCATGCTCACATGCACGTTTTGACAAATATATGGTGTAAAATTTGTATTAATTATGACCATAATTTCTGTAGTGTGTGTTTTTCATGAAGGTAAATATCTTTATCTTGTTTTGAAATCACTGTAGGATAGGATAAAGGA